ACGAGAGAGCGCAAGAAAGCAGAGAGAGAGAGAGAGAGAGAGAGAGAAGAGAGAGAGAGAGAGCGAGAGAGCGAGGAGAAGAGAGAGAGCGAGAGAGAGCGAGAGAGAGAGGAGAGAGAGAGCGAGAGGCGAGAGAGAAAGAGAGATAGACTCGGTCTAGCGTAACAGCCCTGACTCAGTCACGGCAGACCGCAGCAGCACGCGCGGTGCCTGCACCGTTCGTCCCTGCACCCGCAGCAGCAGCAGCAGAGGCGAGGGTTGGTTTGGTGGTGGATGAGGTGGTGGTGGTTGAGGTGGTGGGGGGAACACACTACGTACTATCAGAAGTAATAATAGGAAGCTAGCAGGTAAACAGAACGCCACCCGTACCGTTGCTTAACTAGCACAAGAGAAGGTGGCGGCAGAGGGAGGGGAGTGGAGGGGGGAGGCTCCAGCGAGCGTAGCTCATTCCTTAGCTCAAGACCTCATTCTGAAGGTAGCGTGAGAGAGAATGCACTGAAACTAACACTATGGCCGTAGACTTCACCTAAGTTAACCGTAGTACTGCCTGTATACGTTACACGCGTAACCCGGATTGCATACTAGCCATGATTAATCATACACTAGACCATACGTGAGTGGAGTGAAACTAGCAGATTAGTACGTTTTTTTTTTTTTTTTTTTTTTTTATTTTTTTTTTTTTTTTTTTTTTTATCAAAATTCCTCCACGCGAAAGGCAGATGTAAATTCCCGAAGGTACTACCCATGAGTGGACTGAAAACCTAGACTGTGACAACCAGGTTAGCTCGAAGTGCTTACGAGTGACTGGACTGGAAGGCTAAACCCACATCAGAGTAAGATGTACTCCGACTGCGCTACGCGCCTTCCAGTCTGAAAGTAGCCATATGAGTGGCCTGAAAAGTACTCCATCGGTGTCTGTCCTAGGCCAGTGCGTTGTCTTACTCACTGCCGCATGCGCGAGAGAGCAGCGAGCATAACCCCGGGGTGGTCTATAGTTCAGCGTGTCGGGAGAAACGGTAGCAGTTATTTGCTAATATATTGACTAATCGGGCGTCAATAAACTCAATATATCCAGAGAGTATAGCTAGACATGTGTGCTATTAGGTAATTAGAATCTATTATGCAAATGAATCTCCGTACCGGCTTGAATTCATATCACTCTCTGTGAATATTAGAGTTTATTGACGACCCGTCAACGATAAGTCAAATAATACGCAACTTCTGCGCGCGGAAGTGAATTTAGCGCATGCTTAAAGATTTCTAAAATTGCTAGATACTATAACCATGTTTTAGCTATACTCTCTGTAAATATTGATTTATTGACCGCACGATTAGTAATATATTAGCAAATATATGGTACCGTAATCTCCCGTACCGGCGCTGAATATCAGACACTCACAACACACCTTACGAGAGAGAGCAGAGAAGATAGTGGGTCTCGTAGGCATTACTATCAGGTTACGAAGACATTCGGCCGAACGGAAAACGGTGCCAACACTGCCTGCTTGCCTGCCTGCCTGCCTGCCTCGCTGCCTGCCTCTGCCTGCCCAGCTGGGTGGGCAGCAGCAGCAGCAGCAGCGGTAGTCGCAGCACGACACGGCAGCTAGTCTCGCTGTATTTGAGGTCAGCCCCCGGAGAAAATGGAGCAATGCTATAACTGGTTCTTTGTTTGGGCACGTAGTGCATGTACGCGTCTCTCTCTCGCTCTCTCTCTCTCTCTCTCTCTCTGGCACACGGGAGCGCGCGCACACAGCACGCACGTAGGCAGGGGAGATGAGGAGGGGAGGAGGGGGGGGCACATGCACGATGCGTGCTCGGTAGAAAACGGCCCAGCCCGTAGCCTCGCCACTACATTACCTACCTAAGACCTAATAGGACTGTAATACCGCGAGCCGGGAGTAAACGCACGATGGGGAATTTTACCGCACACACTGACGCGCGCACGCACGAGGTGAATTAAGTGGCGTTTTCCGTCTCAATAGCAAACCGCTTTCGTTGTAAATCGGGAGGGAGGGGATGGAGAGGAAGGAGGGGGAAGTGGGCCCGAAACGAAAACATACACGCCGACACACGCGACGCATAGAGATGTAAATGCAAGTTACGTGGGGCGGGTATTGTACACGCTTTGCCGAGAGGGAGAGCGAGAAGCAACGCAGCTATCACAAAGAAAAGGTGCTCCGCATGTTACGATACACTATGTATATCTATATCGCTGCGTCTGTAATGATAATACCAGGAGCTAATAATGACAAATAATACTAATAATACTGCGGCAATTGCCTCTCTCGTGCGCTTTTCCACGCGATTCTTCCAGGCGATTTACTCTGCTTATTCAAATCAATGCAAACACAAAAATACGTGGCAGATGAGACGGAATGGGACTCGAGGGTGGGAAGAAGGAAGCAATGAAGTATATCGTACGACATAGCTGTAAACAAAGCTGCCGCACACCGACCCGCACCGTTACATTTCCCCGCTCTCGCACCAAGCACGTTTGGATGACCAGCCGTAAAACCTGTACACGAGGGTCGATTAAAGGTAAAGCCAAAATTGTAATTTATAGACAGGTGACCGACACCCAGTGCTGTAGCGAGAGAGAGAGAGTGAGTGAGAGAGAGAGAGAGAGAGAGAGAGAGAGAGAGAGAGAGATGCGAAGCGTTGCTGATGAAAGGCTAGAAACTTTCCAGCCTTGATACCCGGATGCTAATGACAGGATAGGACCTAGCTAACCTCGATAAGCTATGAGCCGATAGCGGTGCTTTCCATCCACCACCAGTCGCCGAGTTTAACGCGTATCTATTGTACATACGCATACAGAGGAGAGAGGGAGAAGGAAGAGAAAGAGAGGGGAAGAGAGTATGTGTGTGTGAGAGAGAGAGAGCGAAGAGTGAAGAAATAGAACGCGCGAGAGACAGCAAGAGAGAGAGAGAGAGAGAGAGAGAGAGAGAGAAGAGGTGGTAAGCGGAGAGAGAGAGAGAGAGAGAGAGAGAGAGAGAGAGAGAGAGAGAGAGAGAGCGCACCCCCACACGCGTCATCGTCTAGTATAAAGAGACGGCCACACTTTGTATACGGGCTCGCTGCTGGAATGAAATACGCACAGCGGGGGAATTCTCTTCATTAGCACGAATCGAGGTGGATTCCACCTGCCTAGATCGGATGCTGGCATAGAAAATAACGGTACACACGCACGTACGCACACACGCATACATTTTAACCCTTTCCTCCCACGTGCCACAAGAAATGACCAAGGTCGCGAGAGAGGCGTTGTCACGACACGTGGCGTCTTTAGTGCGGTAATATTGCTTTCGGTTAAAAATTGGTTATCGTAATATAGCATGTGGTCAGTAAGAAATACGTAGAAGGGTAAACGAAAAAAGAAGGGTGTACAAACTTCGAATTATTTTTATCGTTAAAACACTACAGCGAAATCCGATACAGTTCAATACTGCAATATTCGCTACAATTCCATACGTATTGGTCAATGAGCATCGGATGGCGTAACTCCTTAACCCTTGAGAAATTCCGTCCCCGGCATAGGCTTCCTCATTTAATTAACTACGACACTGCATCTGGTGAAGGAGAAAAGTTCGCAAAACCTACAGTAAGAATTGGAAAATGGTAGGGTTACCATCATCATCTCTGATATCATCCGTCTCGTAGGAGACTGTATCGACGACTCGTGTGAGCGTACGAAATAGCGAGAAAGAGAGAGCGAAAGGGGAGAGAGGAGGAGGAGAGAGAGAGAGAGAGAGAGAGAGAGAGAGAGAGAGAGAGA